ATATGTAGAAAATAAACATAATTGAGATACTGAAGAGAGTGGGTTAATGTAGCGTATCATATGCACGCAAAACTCAGCCTCAGATCTCAATGGGAATGGTTAGCGTATCATATGCACGCAAAATCAGACTTCTGCGTATCTATTGCACGCATTTCCAATGTGTAGTTGTGTCATTTGTACGCAGACTGAAGAGTGGGTAATCAACACATTAGGTTTATTTAAAACATCCCTTAAACCTTTATGTGCAATAAGTGAATCAACACATTAGGTTTAATTCAAACGTCCCTTAACGTAAGATTACCTAATTGAATCAATACATACATTTTATGTAAAAGTTGGCATTAATTCTATTAATCCGATTTAAAAGTTACTTAATTATTTCACACTAAGTCAACGTAATGGAAAAACATAGCATTTAATGTGAGTATTTACATTAAACATACATGATAAAATTGAATGGAAAATGTACATGTAATGAAAACACTTAAAGTCAACGCTTTTGGCTTAATTATTTTTTACGTTGAAAAATTCTTGATAAATTAATAAAAACAAGTCGTAACATAAAAATAAATATTTTCATTTGGGTTTCTGCTTCATCTTTTGGTGCCAATTTGGAGCTTCTTTATTTGTCTGCAAATGAAAGAAAAAGAGGAAAAAATGTTAGAAAAGGATGTGCCAGCAGGAGCTTTTCTTAACATCTCACATATTTGACTTTCTCATGATTCAAGGATGTATACTACAGTGTATATTTGCTCAGCTGACTGTAGTGAAAAGCTCAATTGAAACTAAATGACAAAAATACAATTTATTATTTCCTGTGAACCTGTATTGCTCCTTTGTGTGAACTTCTGTCCAGGCAGGTTAAGGTGCTGTGACTCATACGTTGCCCTGTCAGACATTACAAACATATTTAGGACTTTATTCTCTGAGAAAACTCTTTAGCACTGTTTAAGTGTTCCTTCCTGCGGCTGTGAAACATACAAGCAGGAGCTTGTGATGGAGGGTGCTTTCAAGCTAATCATCTTGCAAATCTTGAAACTGCAGCAGTGTCACCACTCGAATAGCCTGAGATCTGCCTCTGCTGAGACACTGTTTTGGTCAACTTTGAATATCACCAAAAAAAACTGTGAATACAATTATTACTCAGCTGTTTAACAGATGGCACTGCACAGCCACAGGAAGACTTCAATATCTCTGTCAGGTGGGGAGGTTTGAGAAGCTTATGGCTTTGTTAAAGGATTTTTTTTCGCTCTGCTGCTTGCCCCAGGTGAGCGCTCAGTGGTGGTGAGCGCTCAGTGGTAGTGAGCAGCAAGAGAAAACCTGCAGTCTGTCAGTTTGCATATTTCTCAGGTTCAAATACAGAGGGGGCCAGGGGAGATTAAGGTCAGTGCCAGGAAGCTAAATGTGTGCTGATGTGAAACACTCACTTGTTGGGCATAGACAAATTCTTTGTATGGTTTACATAGGCAAACTCTTTGTTTTTGTTTCTTTACATACACAGGCTCTTGCACAATCAGCTTTGCACGAAGACAGAAAGAGATAGATGTGATATGGACAAACAAGGTTTAAATGGAGGTTGTTATAAAGCAGAGGGCGAGTAGTTATGGCCTGCTGCCATGAGTAAATTACAAGACACAGAATGTAACCAATTAAATTGACATAGAAATTGTTCGACAAACAAGACAGAACAGACTTAATCGCCATCAATTAGAAAAAAGGTCACGTGTGGTGACTTTCTTTTCTGTTCAGTTCCTTCTTTTATAGAAGGAAGTGTTTCTCTTTATGAACGGCGTGTTCTGTACCTGACTTCGTCCTGGAGCGAGGAAAGACGCTCCTTCAGTGTGTTGATCTGCGTGTCTCTTTGTCTCACCATCTCTATCAGGTAGCTATAGGGCTGCTGCGTCTGTTGCAACAGCTGGTTGGCTGCCAACAACTGGGGAACAACACACATATGTTAATACTTCAGAAATTATATATAAAACAAAAATACTCCACCTAGTACTGTCAGTGTGAATTAAGGTGGCTGTTTTCCCCCGCACTTAATTATACACCTGGGAATCAGGTCTTCACCGTGTGCTGTACATGAACTCAGCCATGTATGATGCAACAAGGGCCTAACCGTTTATCCGTTAGATGTTTATTAACCTGAACATGACTTAGTTTAAGAATATTTTCACTTTAAAACTATTTGTACATGCGGTTAATATTTGAGGCTATCTAAAAATACATGATGTTCCTCAGTGGTGTGTTGTATTGTCGTGGAGTGTGTCATTTCCTTGTAATTATGACTGAGAATGACAAAATAAACTAATATTTTCGACAAGTCTGATTATTATATATAAATAAAGATGAACAAACCTTAATCGACAAGATGTGAAAAATAACAATGTTAAAGTTCTGACAACTGTTAATAAGCAGTTGTCAGAACTTGATTGATGATGATATAATAAGTAAAACAATCAACTTACACTAACATTCGCCACTTCTGGTGACTCAGATTCTGCAGAGAAGGAAACATTTATTTAATAAAGTTATAATGATAAAACAATTAAATGTAACACCAGTGCATATCATACGATCGTTTAACATGTTCAAGGAGTGAAAAACACCAGATCAGCAGTATTTCACATTTCGTGAATTGGGATTTTGGTTTGGTTGGACTAATATCCAACTGTTTTTGTAAACTCACTGAATTGTTCCATCCAGGGCATTTGGCGGAGAGTCTTTGGGACCATAATAAGTGCCATGTTGTAGCCGGTGTCCACATCTTTCAGAAGATCGTTGAGCTTTTCTTGAGGCTGGTGCCCCACGAGGACGAAAACGGGTTGTATCCGCATATTTCTACCGCAAACGATAACGGGTCCAAAGGTGGATAGATCTGGGAACGGAGCGCTCTGGGGGGTCATACGGCTCCGTGTGATCGCCTCTATATGATCATTTTGTGATAATGATGACGCAATAGCCCTGCCTACCCCCACCTCTGCTGCTCACCCCCGCAAAAGTAAACTGCACACTGAATTCAGATTATTTATCTTTATCTCGATATGGACATAAACGCGAGTGAAGTCTAATCTGACAGGACGGAGACACGCAGCTCCTCCCGCTGTGATGCAGCGGGAGCAAAACACACACTTCAAGTCAGATCATCACCCTTAGCTATTTTAATTAGCCTACCTCTCAAACTACCTAAACTAGTTATAAATGTTTATTTTTTTACTGTCGGCCGGGTCACTCATTACTGGATCAGCTGCTGCATGAGACAGACACTGACGCTGTCAGAAGAGAGGAAAAAGAGAGGACAGGCTCCGTGTATTTTATTATTATATATAGTCGTTATTCATTTGTTTTAAAGCTTAATAAATAACAAAGAAGACCTTTGACCGGCACTTTTATAATTTTGTCCGGAAGATTTAAACTTTTACACACGTTGACCGGCGAAAAACTACCCGGTTCCCTCGGCCCCCACCACGGTGAATAAACAGAAGGGCAACCATGCTTCTTCGCTGCTTTTGTGGAGGAAAAGCCACGTACAGGCTCGGCATATGTACTGCAGCTTTTTCCAGCGGTTGGAGCTAAACGGAGCTGTCTCGTGTGAACAGACACTATCCGGTATATATTGCGTGTGGACGGAAGCTTTTTTGCGATTGCGATAATCCTATGCGTTTTGCCGTATGCGTTCCCGTGGGGCAAGCACCTTACTCTGATCCACTCTGGTCTTCACTGTGAAACATAACAAAATAGTTTTAGCTTACTCCACTAGTTTATAAAGAAGCTAACATTGTCTCAACATTGACAAACTACAACTTTAAAATGCCCAGTTGTATGAAAATGAACCAGTAAAGATAGTCTTATACTATATTATCCTGATTGATCAATAATATAAGCAGATTTCATTTATTGTACTGGCATATATGTTAACCAAAGATTTAAAAAGCTATCGCTTTACAGCAAGGTCTGAGGTATAGATAAGAAAGGAGAGAAGACTACTGCTTTCTTTCTTTTTCAACTGTGCAGTGTCCGGGCAAGTACAAACCATGATCTACATTTTTTTTAATGACTTAATAACATTGGTATTTTTTGTATATAGATTCAGAAAACAATTATTATCCAATATTCATCCATTGTTTCGTGTCAATATTTGAGTCTCCCTCTTAATGGAAAAGGGGGGTTCAAACACATGTAAAAAAAGCATTTAACGAATCTTAGTATTAGGAGCATTTCAATCTGCGAGTTTAAAATATAAAATAACATTTTGAAAGTAGATGTACTCCGCAACATACAGCAAGCCTGTCAGGGATTGCCATGGAAAACTATTGAAATTGCAGTGTAAAATACGTGAAATATAATCACCCTCGCTGTCGAAGTCCTCCAGGAAGGCTTGTAGCCGTCTTGGTGCTATTTTTCCTTGCCTTGGCCGTCGTTCCTGTTTGCCTGCTGCGAGCCATGTCTGCATCGACAGGTAGCGGAAACAAAGTAAATGAAAACACGCTTGACAACACGAGACAGTACTAAATATTACCGAGTTACAAAGTGTGGCTTTACTATATCAGTTACGTCCAATTGTTATAACTACAACGAGCGTTTTGCAAAGAAACCGCCGACATGACGCTAACATTAGCAAGCTAACAGTAAATGCTAACGTCACTTGTTGTGTTACTTAGTTAGCGAGGTTACTCGTTTACCTCGCAATTTGGCTGACTTCGTTAATTGTCAGCTTCTTTCCCACGCACAAACATTTAATAACAACCCTCTTAATAATCCGTTTTGGTCATGGCGACCTCGTTTTATAATTATTTTCTCTCACCTGATGGTGTTCTTCTTCGTCTCTCTTCCTTCTTCACAAAGCCGTTTTTAAATGTCCGCGCGAGGAGGGGCCAGGGGTCAACAGCCAATTAAAATTCGTGTATGCTTTGCGTTAAAAATGGTTCTCGACCAATCACAAAATGGTTCTCGACCAATCACAGCAGCAAACGTCAGTGTTTACATCAGCAGGACGGAAATGGATACAGGCATGGTAGAAACATGGGTGGAAATGTGATTTGACCTAGCAGCTAATATTGCCTTAATTTTTAAGGGTTATACATATCATATTCAAGGAGCACGTCAATCCGAAACGGACTAACATCATTTTAGGATCTTTTCATTTCACATTTACATTTTGTGGTCAACTGTTCAACACCTGAAATGTCCAGAAACCTGCGCTACTTTCACTCCATCAAGCCTTGAGGAAATGCTTCCAGAATCTTGAAAACAACCAGAAAGTATGGGAGAGTGTGTTGGCCGAATGCAGCCCCCTGATGGTGTCTCTAGGTAACTTGGCGGAGCAGTCCCGAGCGCTTTCAAACATCCAAATCTCCAACACACCGCTCAGAGACTTTCCTGACCTGGAGGAGCGGCTGCGTTTCAAGCTCCAACTATCCACGGATACAGTGCTGGGAAAACTCAACGACAATATGTAAGTGACTGGGTAAATTGTGCAACACAAATAAAGACTGTAAGACCGTAGTCAGCAAGGACCTCCAAGTCAGAAACGCTGAAACGTAGCTGATGGCATGCCATGCCACTCATTTTATGTGATGCTTACCTATTTTGAGGGATGTCACTCATAGTTATATTGGTATCAGGTTCAGGTTATCTGTTGGTACCCGTAGGTAGATTTAGGTTGCAGATATAAAGACAACAGGTCCACATATTCTAAAAACAACACAGAAAACAGACAAATCTCTAGTAAAAGTACACCCTGTTCTGTCACATCTAAAATCAAAGATCAGTAGTAAAAACATTGGCATTAGAAGTTAATAAATTAATAAATAGGCATCTGTGTGACACTGCTACATCTTATTCCTCTGTGCGATGGCTGCCGGAATAAAGCTGTTTTATACCGCTTTGTTCGACACTTTGGGACAACTAACCTCTGGCCCGAAGGAGGAAGCTTAAATTCAGAGTGCAGAGGGTGGGAGTCATCATTCAATATAGAGCTGGACCACTGCCAGAGGTGGTAGAAGTACTCAGATCTTGTACTTGAGTAAAAGTAGAAGTACCAGAGTGTAGTACCCTGTTACAAGTAAAAGTCCTACATTCAAAATGTTACTCAAGTTAAAGTACAAAAGTACAGCATCTAAATATACTTAAAGTACCAAAGGTAAAAGTACTCATTATGCAGATCTGCCTCTTTCAGAATAATATGTATTATATGTTTTGATTATAATTATTGATCATTAAAGTGTTATCAAAGCTGGTAAAGCTGCAGCTAGTTTGAATGACTTTGTATACTGCAGGGTAGCTTGTGAATTTACTCTGATCAGACTAAAGTCTGATTTAAGTGTTGATTATATTTCACATCATTCCTCCAAATCTGTAAAGTAAGGTATTAAATAAATGTAGTGGTGTCAAAGTACACGATTCACCTTAGAATTGTAGTGGAGTAGAATTAATGTTACACAAGTACAGTACTTGAGTTAACCTACTAGTTACTTTACACCACTGACAACGGCTGTAACTGTCAGAGGTACAGGTCAGGGTCTCCAGGTTTAGCTGTGGCTCACCCATCAGTCTGCTAGACCACTTTAAGATCTGAGTTAGAGAGTTTCTGCTCTTTTAAAGGCAGGTCTTCCTCCCAGATTCCCATAGAAAAACCGTACTACTGTTGCATATTTGCATAATAAAAGATGAAATGCAGTATAACAGCTAAAAAGTAATAAGGGGTTTAAAACCAGGTTTGGGGTTGTGACACATGTAACCCGAGAATAATAATGATCCATCCCTTTTCTCACAGGTCTTCTCTACAGTCTGTCAGAGATTCCATCAGTAACCAGGTCTCTGCGGTGGTCCATCTTTACGAGCAGAATGCAGACATTCTGGATCTGCTCACTGTGACGGAGCGATCTGCCACCGGACCCTCAGTGTCCGACATGATGGGGTGGCTGCACGATGCTGAGCGTCACTTTCAGCAACAGTATCCTTTATGTTATTGTTCATGTTTGAATTTGATTTGCATTATGTTTTGGGTCTTTTTTCTCCTTAACTCTTGTTCAGATTTCTGAGGAAGAAGACTGTGCTGCAGACTCTGAGGCCAGATGATCTCTCCCTTTTAGAATCTGCCCCCAAAAGATGGAAATCTTTGGAGTCTCCCAGTGCAGGAGATCATATCAGAGGTAAATTGCTTTATATTGAATGTTGCTCTGTTCGGATAATAACTAATAGTTAGTTTATGATTGCATTCTCGTAAAATAAACAGTTAATCCAAATGTAATTAGTTACTACTTAAATGTAATTACTATTGTACTATCGCTTTTATCTATAGTTGGAATTTAACTTTGGTTATTATGTGTTTCCTGCCACTACTCGGATTGTCTGGAGCTTTCCAAGCCAAAATGCTGACAGGTTTAGCAAATGAAGATAAAGAATCCATGGAACAAGCAGGCCAAGTAAGCTCGCCATCAAGCCCAAATGATCTATACACTGCCCTGAGAAACCAATGGCCACAGTTAAAGATCATAACTTTGTCCCACAGGTATCCAGTGAGGCTCTTTCCAACATCAGGACGATTGCAGGCTTAAACAAAGAGACCTTTTTTGTGGAATCGTATGAGCAGAAACTGGAGCTTCCATTTATATCTGCCATAAAGAAAGCCAACATCCATGGGCTTTGTTTTGGTTTTTCCTCTTCATGGCATACGCTGCTTCCTTTAGATATGGAGGCTACCTGGTTAGCTCTGAGGGATTACTGTACACATATGTCTTCATGGTAACAATTATTTCTTTCAATGGGAAATCTGTATTTTTTTTATTCCTTGTTTAAATGTACTGTATTTGGTGTTTTGTGATTACCAGGGTGATTCTGGCTGTAGTAATGGCCATTTCTACTGATCATGATTCCATTGTTGAGGTCTACTAGAATAGATTTATATTGTGCAATGTTCCAAACTCACATTGGTTTCTCATACAGCATCTCTGTATAGTATGTGTATTCACTCTCTGTCCTACATGGCTTGTTGGAGCTCCTGCCCCCCCCCCTTCCTGTGAGCCCACTGTGCTCTGATTGGTCAGCTCGCCCACTCTGTTCTGATGAGTCCACCACCGTTACAGCAGAACATCAGTGATTATGTGTTACAATGGCGTTTGTTAGCAACCAGAAAATGACACCAGTAATGACAAACAGATGAGAATGCTGCGTGGGGTCTGGATGCCGTGTTGGTGGGACGTTGCGCGGCTAGCTGCTGCGAGGAGCGGACAGTGTGAGCTGGGTTCATTTCCTGCTTGCTGCGTGGGATCTGCGAGACAGCGAGACATCGCGAATGGACGCGGGAAGGGGGGGGGTGACCCCTCCCTCCCTCCACGGATTGGGTCCAATCAATGGGTCCATTTGGGTATGGGCACGCCACTGTACCCAGGAAGAAAAAGAGAAATCTCCAACGAGGCGTTCTGGGGCAGCATAGACAGGTCTTTTCTGTGTTCGAGTTTTACTCGCTACAGGGTGTACTTTAACGGTTTGTGACTCTGCAGACCGTTTACATGCATAACACCTTCATAACACACAAGGGGACGGGTAATAACCGGAAAAGCATGACATGGGACCTTTAAGTAATGTTTAGTAAGTCTTAAAATGTCAAGTATTTCTGATGATTAAAAACCGTTAGCGTCTTCCATCTGGCTTATTTACTTTCCAAAGAAACACCTGTGAGGCTAACTTCTTTATGTTTAGGCAGTGGTTACCAGCTCATCCAGTAGAGATTTTGTACTTCCTTGAACATAAACCACAACGTAAAAATCCATCTGACATCATCATGAACAAATATTTCTAGCAAAGACCTTACAAAGAATGATCTCCAATTTAAAGAGGTGCACTGCCCCTCAGAGCCATGGAGGCAAAACCACACTGATTTCCCAAATAAAACTCTGATCCAAACCACTTTCTATGCTGGTATTGATTAAAGGCAAAATGTATGAAGTAAATATTAACACCTTTATATTCCAAGAGTCATGCAAATTAACTTTCTGAATCAGATTGTATTTATGAAACCAGAAAAAGACAACAGGGATGAGAGCTCCCTCTTGCTCTATCTGAGAAAAAGTCTAGAAAAAAAGGTTTTCTTAAATGTCAAACTATTTTTAAAAGCTTACTGGTTTGATATTGCCTTTTTTGCATATCCCAGCAGTTACATTACTGAGTATGTACTGATAGGAAGGGTGGCCAAAATGAAGTTGTAAAACACTAAGGAGAGGCTCTAGCAGGCTCACCTTCTCTCTCAAACACTTCCCACTCGGTCCTTCCTAATTCAGTTCATGCTCTCTTCTCTTGTGGGCACGAGCATCTCTCTCTGTTGAATGTGGCCCTTGCTCTCCCTGCGTCTCCTCTCTCCCACCTGCTGTGCTTATCTGTTTGTGTTCTGTTCAATCAACCCCTGGTGTTAGCGACTGGCACGACACAGAGAATAAGCACTATTAGTCACCAGAGACCTCCAGAGGAGCATCTCACACTGTAGGTCGGAACAACATGGAGAGGGCCGCCCCCACGGGAGCTGACCCTTGACTGGCACAACAGACGCACTGCCAGCAGGGTGCGACCAGTGGGAGGAACATAGGCTTCCAATTATAGACCAAACCAAAGGGGAATGAAGAAAAGAGAAAAGGCTTGACTCCTTTTAAAAGACCACTATTTCAAGGCTCAGCATGGCTTCAAGAGTATTCTTTTGTACTGCTCGTTGCCTGAATTAAAACACTAAGATTAAACGGTTGATTCGGAAAATTACATTAGTAACTGCCCATGAAGTATCAATGGAAAAGAGTGAAATAGAGGGAAGAAGCTGTGAGACGTTTGGCAGGTAGTGAGCACAGCCGGTTCAATCTTGAAAACCCAGCAGGTGTGTGTTTGTCTTACACCTGACTTCCTCCTTGGCTGGAGAAGATTAGTCAGTAAGCATTTATTTGGGCCTTTAATTATATAACACATATGCTCCTTGAGTTGGCTACATTTATCGTTCAACTAGATGCATTTGATCAAACAAATCTATTATTTGGTTATACATCATTTTACTCCCCCTGGGACACTCTCACTCCTTGTCCAAAAGCTCTGGTTGCCTGGGGGCGCTCTATTCTTTCCACGGATTTCCCTCAAAGTACAGCCTGAAGCATGACATTTTACAAGTAATGGAGAAAAAAACACTTTTTTTTGAAAACTTTAAAGAAAGGCTTTAGTCAGGATAACTGACTCGCCTGATACGGATTTTAAGGCCTCAGGTTGTTATATGCTGCTCAATCTGGATATTGAGACATTTTTTAAATGTTCAATGTACAATTCATGTATAGTTTGTGTGACACTTTAAGGTTATTAGTGAGCTTAACACATTAAAATGCTGGTGTAGGTAATGGCTAAATGTTGGCCTACTGTGGTTCAAGCACTGTGCCATATTTCTTATTGTATTTTTATATTCGAATAAGCCTGTATGGGACATATGGGGAGCCAAATCAAAATGGCTTGATGACTCCCATGTTTTCTGACCGCCTCAGTCCAAAGGAAACTAACTTGTTCGTCTATTGGGTTAGTAGACACTCAAGATACCCACATGTATGTTCACAAGCACAGAAAAAGTGAGTTTTTATAGATGACCCAATGTTAAGCTTGTGTTAAAACTTTCACTTAAAGCTGGGTCTGGTTCCAGTTTCAGGCAAACTCTTGTGCAGTTTCATTTTGATGTGAAAACAAAGTAGACCAACCACAGAACATTGTGATAATAAATATATAAATGTTTAAGCACACTTTTAAGAACTAAACCTTTTTTTTTTATCTGGGGATTACGAACTGTCAAGAAGATTTTGTTTCAGCAGTATAGCATTATAATCATATGCACAAATATCTGGTAACCATAGCAACATGCATACATGTCAACAAGGTGCTGAGATTTCTGTATTTCTTCAGAAAGAGGTTTTAAAACAAAGGTCTGCCACTCTGCCAATATTTGAGCTAAATATTTGAAAAATTGTATCCACTCGTAATATTACAATATAAAATAAAAGTGGAAAATCCACAGTCCTCGTTTTGAGCAAATATGTATTCAACGGTTTATGTGGAGGTAATATGAGGTTAACCTGTCTGAGTTAATGACATCCAGTGGGTATCTTCTTAAGTCTTTTTAGTATAGAGTTTCCTATTTGTGTTTCCCTGTTGAGCTGCAGCGAACAAATAGTAATTAAAAGGATAACAATTGTGAAACTTTAGATGGAAAATATCCCCCTAATTGGTCTATCTCAGACCGCTGAAGTCTTATATCAACTATATATAAATGATATTTAGAATCATATTTTGCGCAGAAAAACACACAATTCTGTCTCCCATCACTTACAATCAAAACTTGTCTCAATGTACACACTGTACTGCACAACACTTTTTCGTGCCAAAGCCTAACCAAACCTTCACCACATTGTTTTGCAAATAGTTACGCCACATCAGAAAATGCTTTGATTTTTCGATGTAGAGGGTATGGGCAAATAAGACATTTATAAAATTGTATTTGAATGATTTGCTGATTAAGCTAATTATTATGCTGCCTTATATTTCTTATCAATCAGCATATACAAACACACAACAGTACTCAAAGACATTGTAGGTTATGAAAATTACAAGAATGCTGGCTGGGAAATCTTTAACTGTGAATAGCGGATGCACAGTTAACCATCAGTGCGACAGGGCTAGCAGGTGCCAAAAACTGTAGTTCAAGTTGAAAAACATGATTGCTCTGATCTATTTTTCATCTATTTGTAGTGATATGAGTGAGATTAATCTAACTTCCATGTATATTGTAAACTACATGTTTAAACCCACCTGCTATTTGTTTTCCCTCTCTCAGTAAAAAATACATTTCCCTTTCACATCATTCCCTAACGCATGCCAGCTGACTTCATTACACTCCTGCCAAACCATCCCTGAGACTGTAACCCTGCAATTAATTCATCTAAACGTCAAAGGCACTCGCTCTGTTGCCTCCTTTTCAACCAAGCCAAGCCCCACAAAGGATGGGTTTCCAATGCACTGGCGTTTTCCCAGTTTAAACAGTATTATCTATTTTCAATAAACAACATGTGAGTCTATCAAGAAAGATGTGTGACTACAGCTGGGATCAAGCAAAGAGGGAAACTTTGGGAAAACAAACACTCATGTGTTTTGCAGTCGATCACTCGCTACAGTGACTTAACACAGAGCTCCATGTGTTGTGTTTCAGGAAATGTGAAGTGCAGCAAGCAGGCTGTTGTTTCCTGTCTCAGAGGGCTGTAACACCACAGACCCATGACAGACTCATAACCTAATACTCTTGACTGGCAGGTGTGTTTATCAAGGCAAGACATCCCAACAGTCTGCAGGCAGAGCCATCAAAGAGTGTTTCTAGCTGTGATCTGTTGTCCGTAATGAGGAGGATCCGGAGGTTTGCTCTGTGCGACAAGGCAGGCTATGGGTGACTGGACACCGCTGAAGAGTCATTATGACTCACAGAGAGATGCTGAAGAGGAGGAGAGAAGGATGGGTTCTTAGCAAGAGGTATAATAACTCTCATAAAGTGTTGGAGGACTGTAGACAGAGTGAAAGTCCATACAGTTGAGTACCGTGAGGACAACATGTGGGCTTTAAAACTAATCTTTCATTTCAGAGGGTTTCATTATTATTTACCTATTGATTAAGTTTCATGCGAGATATCATTATATTGCATATGCTGTGATCTGATTATACAGTATAGTCTACCATAAGGCAGTTTATGTCTGATCATAATCTATATTTTTCATATGGTTAAGAATCCCATGAAAAAAGATTGATTCCAAGTACAAGTGTTGTCTGTGTAGCCAAAACCTGATATAACTCACTGAGCTAAACACATCAGTAAACCACACTGTTTCACTGACACGTTACTTAAGTACCAAGAACACAGCCGCTGCTGT